CGCTAACAGTTTGCAGGTTCCGTTCCGTATTCAATTTGCGGATTCCGCTTACAGGTTGCGGATTGCGCTTACAGTTGCGGGTTCAGCAACAGCTCAAACTTATTATACCCATTTTTATCATTTGGTTTTGGATTCCACAAACTTTTCCGGATTTCACAAACTACCTTATAATTGGAGCAATTTTGAGAGGTGCAGTGTTTTAGCAGTGTTTGTTTGTGGAATCCAAAACAGCAACGAATATCAGAGAAAAGTAGCAATGTTTCAGATTCCACGACAAGCTTCATTTTGGCCTGTTTCAGAATCAGCCTACAACTCACAAAATCCACAGTTTGGCCTCGTAATTAGGCATTTTTCGTGTATGGAGGTAAATCCAGGCTGTTGGAAATTTTCAGTTGCTTGCACAGAAACAATTATTAATGCATACTTAAAACAATGCGGTGCCAAATTCTCAAATTTGTTCTCATCCTTTTAACTAACTACGAGTTGCGACTGTTTCGTTCTAACTTTGTAGTGTTTGCTCAAATTTTTCACGGTAATTTTTTTTTAAATTTGTTTTGTAGATTTACCCTAGGTTCAAATTTCATTGACACCCCCACCAATTTTCCGTTCTTGTTGCCAGTGTTTGTCTGGACACTCCTCTTTGGTACTACTTTTTGATATCCATTTCTGGCCATCTATCTCTATTTTTGATCGAAGTCAATTTAATATAAATTGATTTAGAGTTTGGAGTTCGGACCGAAAAAGGCGATTGCGGATTTTCGAACTACCACTGTCATAAAAAAATATGCAAAGAAACACTCGTGTGTTCGACCCAAAAGTATGCTAGAAATATTTTTTCGTTAACCGAATTATATTTCTTGCGGCCCATATCTATGGGGCGTTTTGTTTAATTAACATTTCAATAATCAAAATATATATATAATTATGCTATCAGAAACAAACTCATGTCTGAAATCAGGGACGGATTAAGGAGAGGGGGGGGGGGGGGCGGACGCCCTTTCTCCACCCTTTGTACTATTTTGAAACATCCGTGTTTGGCTACGGGCTCTTAAAAATTTCTAAAGGCACCTTCAGCGCCAATTTATACTAATTTTAAGGGGGTAGAGCGCGCCAAAAAAACTCAGTTTTTTTCGTCAAAATTTTCCAAAAAGTGCCTAAAAACGCCTTTTTTGGCCTGTTTTTTTTATGTTTTGCGTGCGGCGAATAAATATGGGCCGAAACAGGGTCTTTTTAATGCTTTGGGAGAGCTCAGAAAATCAATTTGGTCGAAAAGGTTTTTGAAAATCCGCCTCCCTCGAGAAAATCCTAGATCCACCCCTGTCTGAAATCAAAGTAAATATGATATATCCACATTCTATGATTTTGCGTTGGACGTATATCGCAATAAAGTTCCGATGTTTTCTGCTACGATTCATGACTATCGACTATTATCTCTTTTTTTTGAAATCAAATATAATAATTTTTGATTATAATCGATTAATTTTATCCGAAGTTCTAATTCATTTGTCTTGCTGAAAAAATCTATGATAATCAATTGAAATCGTTTATAATCCCTTTTGATTCCCATTTTGTCTTCGACGTTGCTCCTGGATTATTTCTATTTTATGCTTTTCGTAGACGTTGATTTATGAGAAAAATGGGAAAAATATTTTAACATTTGTTGAATCAATTCAATTTCACAAGTTTTTATTTTTTTATTTCTTTTTGATTGTTGTTTTTTGACATTTTAAGTGTTTTTAACCACCAAAATTTCAGCAAACTGCTTTAATTTCATGATTTATTTGGAGGAGTTATATTTCACCTACCGCGGAAAACTTTCAACTAATATGAAGGCATCTCTGTGAAACTTTTGTTTCGTGGTAAAACTTTGTGTTCAGAAAAACGAAAAAGTGACAAGACATCTCATTTTTAGAGATTTTTGACTGAGAACAAGATTATAATCTGTTATAACAGATTACAAGAGAAAATAAGAGATTACAAGAGGTTATAAGAGATTATAAGAGATTTTCGGAAAATGCATGATCAATTATAATTGATTATAATTCATTATTATTTCAAGAAAAAAAAGGTTACCTTTTTAATGGATTATAAATCATTTAAACATCTAAATTTGGCAATTATAATTAATTTTAATTTTGATACAAGTACAATTATAATTGTAAAATAATCGATTATTTTTTCTTTTTACTGCGTGCGGGTATTGAATTGATTTTTATGAAATTGTGTGTTTATCTAAAACAAGACTGCTCTTTGCTCGTATAATTGCAGAGCCCTGAATGTTCTATGTTTCTGTTCAAAAGTGTTCTGTTTAAAATGTCGAGATTGATCTGGCGAACAAAAATATAAGTATTTTAGGCGGCAAAAAACTGAGAGCGTATTGAACTTAGTGAAGTGGAGGTGCACGATTAAGAAGTTGGATCTTCAGAATTTTAGCTGATACAATCATTCTTTGTAATCCAACTGTCGGGTTATGTTTTATTTCAGATGAGTTTAGATTTTGAGTTTAACCATTTTTGATAGAAATAGTTATAGTTCTTTCCCTGAGCTCAAATCTAAAGTAAATCAGCTGAAACATGAAGGCATATACATTTTTTACAGTTTGTTTAATTTAGGATATTTATTGTTCCGACTTTAGGACAAAACGGGATACTTATGCTTGACGTGGTTTTTTTATTCAGTCAATTTTGGGCGATGGAAATATTAGTTTTCAACAAAAACATTTATGCCCCATCGACGATATCGGCTCCCAGAAATCAAATTTAAAACAATATTATACCTCCAATCAATTTTGGCAAAGTTCTGGAAAACGTTCTGAAAAATTGTATGCGCACCTTGAAGTTTTTATTCATAATTCTAAAAACGTAACGCAAAATATTTAGGGGTTACAAAGTATCCCGCACAAGCAAAATGTTCCAAACCTAATTGAGGCTGGCTAATTGGTCTTATTAGTTTCCTAAGACTTGATCTTTCATATTGTCCAAATTTTTTTGATATGGATTAAGGGGCAGTTTGAAGTTCAGGGCTTTCCCCTGATATAAGAGCAGAGCAGTCTTTTTGAAGGTTAAACCTAGTTTCTCTACTAACGCATATGTTCTTCAATAAAGCCCGCAAATCGTGAAATATAGTGTTTTGTACTCGATCTTGTTTGTGGTGGGATTCTTGAGAAATTTATGAAACTTTTTCGCCGTTTTTGGCAAAGAGACAGTTTTTGGGGTTAAAAGGTTAAAACATAAATTGTGAAAGCTGTCGGAAACTATTTTAGGATACTTGAAGACCAGTCCGATTATCAAAAGCGTTGTACGGAGGCAGATGGCCATTTTGTTTAAAATCGTGACTAAACCAGACTGATCGTATCAGGGCGATGCGCTGATTGTTTTCAATATACCTTTGAACGTCTGGGGATCAGTGTTTGGTTCGAAAAATAACTCGATAGTAGTCATACCGCCACACTCTATGTAAATAATCAAGTGATGAACTACATATAGCAAAGTATTAAACAAGACTGCTCGTATCAGGGCGAAGCCCTGAATGTTCCGACTGCCTTTTAAGGTTTTATGGAGCAGTAATAACATGAAAAATTAAATGTAATAAAATAAAATGCAAAATTTTTTTTCTAAAATTCGAATTTTTTTTAAAATAAAAATCATCCCCCCACACGCCATATAAAGTACAAAAAGATAGATTTAGCTCCTTGTAACAAATCAATTATGGCAAATGAGCTTCTTTCAACCAATTTGGAACAATTTTAAGACGGATTAAAAATCCGCTTACGCGTTAATAGCGCGAAATATATCGCGCGTTAATTGTCCCAAATTGGCCCAAATGGCAATCTTTAAACCCCCATAACTTAACGAAAAATGATCACAGGTGAAATATCTTTTCAAATTTGAGCTCAAGACAACAATAGCTTTCGAATTATATAAAAAAATTTCGTCAAAAATGGCTAGGTAAAAAGTCGAAATTTGTCTGAAGAAAAAAAAACCCACTCCGAGCACAAATATTCCGTTACTTTCGTATCGAAAGTCGGAATAATAGACAAATTAGCATGCTCCAATTAAATTTGGAACAATTTCTAGGATGGATTAAATCTCCGCTTATGAATTAATAGTGCGAAATATATCGCGAGTTAAATATCCGAAGTTGATCAAATGGGCAATGTTTAAACACCCATAACTTTACAAAAACTGATCTTAGATGAATTACCTTTTTTGAGCTTACGAGATTAGTACCACCAGGATGGCCGATATTAGAAAAAAAACCTCAAAAAAGGCTAGTTAAAATTTTGTAATTGGTCTGGAGAGAAACCTCACGAGCCCAAATACTCCGCCACTTTTTTCGATAAGTGGAACTGCTAGACTTTTTAAATCAAGTTATATCGTTTGCTGTATTTGAAACTGTGCGGGCTTTTGATTTATTAAACATTTTTTTTTCATGGTTAACAGAATATCATAATTGTAACTTAATATTTAAGTGCTGTGTATTGATGCAAAAACATACTGACGAAGAAAATGGCGTTATGTTAGGTAATCTAAAGGTTACACTATGTGTTTTGTACACCTGTCTCTCAATGATACCGATCATTGTGAAAAAGATTCAGAGCTTCAAAATACGGATCAATTAGAAACTCAAAAAGTTTTTTGAGTACGACTAAATTTTATAGTTAGAAAAATTGTTTTAGGCGTTTATTTGTTTTTCTAGTTGAAGCTTTGTTTTTTTTTGGTATGAAAAAACAGTACGGTAGTACCCTGGCTAAGAACATATTTTTGAACAGACATATGTTTTTCTTGAAATTTTTATGACAAAAACGTTTCTAATTTAATTGTGTTTGTGGATCTTCGGTGCATGTATATCATGAAAATACTCTCAATAACTCATCTGGTTAACTTGACTTGAAAATAATAAACTAAATAATGAGCAAAGTTGAAGTTTCTACTGTAATCACATTTAAACCTAGATGTCCAGGGTTATAAAACTGACAAAAAAGTAATTTATGCGCCATTTTTTGAACTTCTATCAATTACAAAAGGATAAATTATTAACCATAGCAACTTTTTCATTCAAATTAAAGTTTTCTTTATCGTGAAATTCTTTTATAGTCCAATTTCTATGGTAAATTGGAGAAACAATAATCGAATAATAAAGAACGTTTCATTTTTCATGTTTTTCTATTCTTTCTTTAAGTAGTAATCGGCTTTCATGACGTAATAGTAGAACCAGTAGAATGCGAAAAGTGTGACAAACGAGGTTGGAAACCAAATTCGGGAGTATACTTCGATCCTGGAAGCTGTCCATCGGGACAACTTCTGAGTCGGTGGCTGTATTATGTCCGCACTAGTAATCGGGCTAAGAAGCCGAGTGCTTGACGACAATCCGACTTCAGCTGTTAGAGCTAGAGTGCTCTTTGCGATCGGCGATGTCGGGACTCCCACCGACGAGGCGACCGCGGATTCCTTAAGCATCTCAGTTGCAAGGATAGGGTCCAGATCTTGGATGAGATTCATGCTTCTTATGCTGTTGATTGTTGACAGGTATTCTTTTTGCTTCTCCCGTTTTTCTTTGATCTGAGCAGCTAATTTCTTCTCTTTGGATCCCAGATAGATGACAGTTGCGAATTCGAGGAGTCCCCCAAAGACGTATCCGAAGCAGATCCCGAAGTAGACGTCGAGGGCTTTGACAGCAGATACGTTGGGCAGTTTGGCGTTTGTGGATCCAATGAGTGTAATGAGACTGAGAACTGTGGTTATTGAGAGACAAGCTCGACCGGGGATACCTTCCCGGTTGATCCAAAATGCAACCTAAATCATTAAATATTAACTTGAAGGCGACAATGACCCAGACATTGTACGTTTTTTTTAAAGACTTCTAAGATTGCACTTGTATTTTGGTTCTTTTCTGTTTTCTCAACACTGCCCTTCGTTGAAATGCGAAAATGAGTTCTGTATAAAACTTTTTGTATGGAAATTTCAAATTTGTTAACTAGGTCATACTGACATACTTTAATTCACTTAACAGCCTCAAAAACCATTTCAAAAAGGCTCTTGTAAATATAACTTCGGAGGAAAACGAAGAAGAAGGGGACTGGAAAATAGCCATTTTTCGAGTGTTTTCTATACTTGCAGTCAATAAAATGTGCAGGACATAGTTTCACCTTCTTGCAAACTTGTAAGTAGTTTGAAAAACGCTTATTTTCAGCTAAAATTGAGTTTCGCAATGTGGACTTTTGAAATTGAATTTTTTTTTTCGATCCGACATTTAACAACTCAGTTGGATCAATTATAGCGGATATCAATACAAGTTTGGAATTTTTTCGGCTGAGACGCAATAAATCACATTTGCTATGCGTTGATAAAAAAAAACCTGAAAAAACCGGAAATTCTCAAAAAAAAAAAGAAGAAAAAAACATTGCTTTGATATCGTACTTACCCAAGAGCAGACGACGATCAAGGTGCTGGGGATATAGCTCTGCAAGATGAAATAGAGAAGATCCCGCTTGAATACGAACTCGATCTCCAGATCAGAGAAGGCCCCTGTCGAGAACTCCAATGTGTAGTTGAGTAATTGGAAGTCAATCACCTTAAACAAACTCCAACCGAAATTAGATAACAAAGAGCGCTATAAGAAAATCTTTTTCTGATAAACGAACACCTCCTAAACGATTCTATCTCGACTGACCTTGAGCGGGTAAATGAGCATCTCGTTTAAGAAGGGGTCAGAGTTGAGGTTGACGATGAAGTTCCTGTTGCTGAATGCCACCTTGTTTCTCCTGTTCTTTAGAGGACCTGTGGAACCTGATCTAAACTATATTTTATGATTGGATAAATTAAATGTTTTACCAATGTAAAGTATTTAATATTAACCAATCATGATCCATCTAACTAACAACCCACTTATTTGTAAGTGCTGAAGTTACTTGTAATTTCAGCACCAGAGAGATTTGAATTTAACTTAGAAATTAGTTGGACTCTCCCGAGCACTTCAGCAGCCGCAATAAACCAGTATACCCTAGATCTATTGAGCCTAGCAGAGACTAGTTAAACAACCTGAGACTAGATAGTATAAGAGTAAGATTAGGATCGGTATTAGACTAAGAAGTTGCACGAATCTATCCGGCCGAAAATAAGATAGCGTGACGAGCAGACGGTGTACCCTATCCGAAATTACTCTATGAGTTATACACTTCGGTTCTAACTCATCTGGTGCGACCATAAGTCTCGAACAAGACCTTATTAGATTAGAATTAACCAAAAATAGATTAGAAATTAGACAAAAACATTTACAAAATGTTATACGACAATAATTTAATTGAAATGTCTCTCCGACTCAATAGATCAGAGCCAATATTCCGAACCATAATAGAACTACCCGGAATTGGAAGAAGACCTCGAACCAAAGACGACATACGACAAAGTAGAAACTTGCCGTATAGTTATATGATAGTTCGGCAAAAGCCAGAACAAACTTTTATATTTCGAATACTACTTGCAATGAATTTAGATTTCCATTTGCAAACATAAAACCTTGAAGTTACTCTTCAAAATCATTTCAGGCGCTAAACAAATTAATATTATACAATAACGATTGATAAAAAGATCTAAGATCGTTTTCCTAAAACTCTGCAGTATTATACAAAACATGTTTGAAAAATATTTATTGGAAAATAAAAATAAAAATTAGTAGCATGACAATAAATGGTTAGTAATCATAAATCATCCTGTTGTTCCAGCTTCATCATCTAAAACATAACAGCAATCATAAACCCACTAATATCATCAAAACACTAAATCTTTCCTTTACACAAATTTAAAACTTTATTAAAATTTAAAGTCACTTAATTTAAAAACCAGATCATCAAGGCTTATCCTTGGATCTTAAATCATTTTCTACTTAATTAAATTTTAAATTTGATCATCAAGGCTTATTCTTGGATCAAACAGAACAACTTTGTTCTCCCCCACCCACTTAATTAGTGTCTAACGACCTCAAACGTCGATTCACTACCCAACCCTTTCTAAAGACCCAGGACTAATAGAAATTTTTACACAAAACTAATCATTCAAATTAGGATAAATAGTGAAGAACTTCGGTTATTCATCCTTCACTTGACCCCCCCCTCTTATCAGACCCAGGATAAATCTTAGACTTAGTAAGTTTAAAATAGTATCTAACGAACTACTCGCGTTCTAATTATACCTGAACCTTGTGGATCGATTTACTATTCTCCAACCCTTGAACACAATCACTACCCCTAAGTAAGATTAAGTAAGTTAACACCTTAGCTTATACTAGTCACGAGAAAGTAAAAATCATTCTTCGGAATCGATATACTTTTCTCTCCAACCCTGAACAAACAGACCCAGGTTAAGCTAACCAAAAAATCGTAAGAACTAACAGTTTAAGAAAATAGAAACCATTTAACAACCTTTTGCATCCGTCATCCTAAACCTTATGTCATTTAAAAACCTAGGAAATAAACAAACAATCGTTTTACACAATTGTGAAATAGATAATAAAAAATACGACCTTGTAATCACACCTCATACACAAACAGTTGGATACATTCGAACAAAACGACAAACACTAAAGAGGAAAATAATAACTAAACAAAGACAAATAACACGAAAAAGATTTTCAAAAAATCGAAACGCATTTTCAGAATCAGAAACCAACAGTTTAGACGAACTTTACAAACTAAAAGAATCAATAGATAAAAATTGCCCACTTCACGATCAACTATATTTTTCTGACTCAGAAACAACTTCAAATTCATCACAAAGAGGAAAAAGAAGAATAAAAAAACAGTACAAACACAAACCAGTACATCTATACAATTGGAATCAACCAATTCGACACATTAATAATTACATATTAACAGTCATCGAACGAAAAAATGAGCTCAACACACACCCCAGGTGACGAAACTCCAGATGATGATGAAATCTTTCCCTTTATAGTAGACGCAGATACTGATAGAGGACAACACATATTTTGTCAAAATTTACTCATAAATTTATTTGAACCCGGAATCAGTCCATGTAAAACAGAGTTCCCCGATGTAAAAATCAAAAGACAAATCATAGATCACTATCTAAAAGATATATGCAACATAACACAACAATATGGAATCTACTCTATAGAATTCACTTCCCCAAACCATAATAATAGAACATATACTATTCAAACAGACGATCTTGATTTAGAATTTTCAAAAGTTTTTTCAGAATATATAAAAAGCATCCAATACCATAACTCACAAAGAGCAAACTCCATTTTCACCAATGAAGTTTTCGCAATAATATATAGTTATATTTCGATATTAGAAAATGAACTCCCATTAACAAATGTCTCACCGACAGAAACATCTAAACATTTAAGAGTACGACATGAAATCACACTACTCTCTAGTTATTTAAACATCATTAAAGAAAATTTCACGAAAGACGACGTTTCACAACATACAAAACACGATTTACAAAAAATCTTGGCATGGTTCATAATAGATTATTTTACACATAATATTGATTTAATTGCACAAGCAAGAAAAAATTTTAGACCCCAAAACTCGAACGATGATACCGCTATCACAGAACAATCAGATTATGTTTGGGACCCCGAATGGTCTCATCCCGCATTTATAAGCTTCCCACAATCAATCTCAAGTCAAGCAATAAGTACGATATCTTACATAAGAGACTATGTAAGAGTAATACCATTAACCATTGATGCAACACCATTAAACTATAATACATTTTTGCCCGATACACAAAATAATAGTTTAAACTCTACAGTTATACACAATGAAAATCTCAATGGAACTAGGAATCTTACTCAACAAGATATCCAGACACCATCACACTTCATAAATGAAGAAATAGTACACACAACAACTACACAACAAAGTATTTCACCAATACGCCCAAATTTAACAACACCAAGAAATACAAATCCTTCACAAACACAGGTAACCTTACAATCAACCGTTAAACCTTCGGTTGCCCCTAAATATTCACATATGGATTACCAAACATACAGACCCATGACAATACCATCAAAAACACGCAAAACATTCAATAGAAACAACTTTGCAGACCATAATTATAATTATACACATCCGTCAAAAACAAATTATCAACCACAACGGAATTTTAATCAATATACAAAACCTCGAAACTGGGATAACCCAACGGCCCAATATAATTCCAAAAATTTTCAACCAAATCCTCCACAGGATCGCAGTGAAAATTACCCATTTTTTCAACAAAATAAAAATAAAAAACAAACATCTTATCAAATGGATTATTTATCCTCAGATGATGATTTTTTACAACCAGATATATTTGCACAAAATACTCAAGAATATCGTAGACAAGGAATACAAAAAACACGTACAAATAATAGGAATTTTTCTCCACAACCAATAGATGCACAACATCAACAATCAATTCAACAACAAAATCCAATTAATACACAATCTTTTCAACCAATTCAACAACAAAATCCAATGACTGCACACTCGTATCAAGCATCACAAATGCAAAATGAAATACCACTCCCATATTATCTTCAACAACATGAAATAACAAGAAACCAACTTTCAAATTTTTCTCAAATGCCAAATGCAGCAGAATCATTACAAATGACAATGAATCCATACCTTATGGGTGGATCATCAATAACATCAAACAAACCTTTAATGGTTTTCACAGGAACAGACCCTGAATATTCTGTAGAAGATTATTTAAATGCAGTAACAGCAAACCTGATTTTAAACATTGGACCTGAACCAATTAATACGCCACTACATCAAAACTGGATACATCGACGCACAGCGTTGATACAAACAACCTTAGATGGCGCAGCCCAAAAATGGTTTTCAGTACTACCTCTAGAAATAAAATCAAACTGGAAAAGATTTACACAAGAATTTTCAAAAATGTTTGACTCCGAAAGAAACAAACAACAACAAAGAGTTTTATGTAATGAAATTCGCAGATTACCAAACGAAACCATCAAGCAAATAGCAGTACGAATCGAAACACTAGTTCGAAAAGCATACTCACTAAATACACATGACTATAAAAACACAAAGATGACAGAAATCTTAATGATGACCTTAACACCACAATTAAGGAAAATAGCAATAAAAAAGAGAGCATCCCATCCTTCTTCAATTCGAGAACCCGATTTAGATTTTCGAAAACTAGTAGACAAATTAGAACAAGCAGAAATCACGATGAAACTAGAAGAAACAGAAAATCTGAAATTACAATACGTTAACAAAATTGAAACGACTCCCACTAATATTAATAATATACAGGAATCAGAAACAGACCTCGTTGAAAAGATCACTGAAATACTCAATATTTATGAAAAGAACCCAAACTTCAAAGGCAAACCATCTTTCAAAAAATGGTGTAATTATTGCCGACGATACGGACATAGTATTTCCGAATGTAGACAAAAACAGCAAGACAGTCAAAATAAACCTCAAAAATACAAAGAACCAAATAAATCATTCTATCAATACATGAAAAAAGATCAAAATCTACCAAACAAAAATGTATACAGCAACAACAGTTCAGGAAAGCCACTTCCGAACAATACAAGTTATACAAGAAATCAATCCCCATATAACTCAAGTTATAGAGGAAGATCACCAGAACGAAGAAATACACAAAATTCATCACAAAATCACTACAATAGACCAAATAGTAGAAATAACTACTCCAGATCAAATTCAAATACACAACGATTTGTTTCTAGATCTAATTCCCAATCAAGA